ACCCACCTGATTTTTCTTCTGGACTGCATCATCTCTCCTGTGGAACAGGGAAGCTATGCAATTCATAAATTGCATATAGCTCTGATTAAAGTGGTTTGGTATCTGAGTCCACTTAGTGTCTGTGCTGTAATCTGGTCTTATGGTCTTACCATGACAAGAGCAGAGGGAGGCTACATGCAGGTTAGGGCAGCTGGGGTACAGAAGTGTCCGTATCAGTGAGCAGCATAAATAAAAGCATATTTGCCCAACTGGTAAAATCTGTTGGAAATGTGTATCTGTCAGCCAGGGACCCACTTGTTCCCACACCCAAGAGCAGAAAGGCTTCTGCGGGGCCGACCATGACCTACGCTTCTCTAGATGTACGGAGCCCAAGCAGTACAGGACTTGCAGTAGCACGGAAGAAAATCCAGCTGGACAACACATGTTGGAAAAGCATTTAAATAACCACTTCTTTGAGCAATCTTCCACGTGGATTTCACTCTCAGCAATTGGTTTGCAGTTGTTTATTCACTTGGGTTAGATAATGCAGTCCTATTTAAACGATGCCTGGATGTCAGCCTGAAGAATCACTGCCAGGAGTGTTTGTAAGCTGGGTGGGGGAGGTCCAAATAGCTGCTTTGCAAAATCCACCTGTGGGAACATCCTTCCAATATGCAGTGGAGGTGTCTGTCTACATTAATCTATCTTGAATACGGTATTTTTTACAGCACAGAAATGCTCACTTTTTAACTGTCACCCAAGAACCACAACTACATAGGCAAGCTTACAAATATCATGTAGGACAACACGAGAACATACTTTCAGAAGTGAAAGCACAGAGCCTTTCCCCAGGCTTTGGTGAAACACGGAGAAGAGAACCAGCATGAAACTTAGATGATCTTGGGGCAAACCCTGATACAAAGTGAGAGTGATCCTGTCCTCCCTGTGTGGAGATAAACTCAACATAGCCTGGAAAACCCTCATCCTTTAGGCTGACATACTCCCTATTAAAGCAGTCTCCACTCATAGGATCTACAAAGTGCTGCCAGAAAGACACTGACAACATCATATTGAGATTGTAAGAGGCAGAAACCAGCGAAGTCTTGAACAAGGTCCTAAGGGAATCCCGTCACTGTAGGATGAAGAGAAAACAGACTATGGAAGCAGGATAACACTACAATATTTTTGCATACCAATTTCTTATGGAACAGCAAATAGTTCACTCTTGCTGAGAGGAGACACAGAAAAGGAAAAATTTGCTGATATATTTTAAAAAAAGCTTTTCCACTCAGCTTTCCAACTCAATCTCCTGAAGAGCTCCAAACCTGGCCAAACAGCTTCTTTTGGTGGATGTCATCAAGCCAGCATTCAGGCTGTTGGATGCAGTGATGTTAGAGTCAGGAAAAAGGTTTGACTTTTATTCTATAAAAGTGTCCAGAAGTCCTAGTAGGATGGGTACAGCAAAGATCTTCAACAGATCTCATTATATGATCTGCCCCTCCCATCATACAAATAACATGACCAGCTTGAATATGTCCCATTTTGTCAGAAACTTGACAGCATCAAGATGAGTAAAAAGTAACACATCAAGCCAGGGGATGGGAAAGGCCTCCCAACGGAAAAATGGATACATTACCCCTCTGAAAATGAATGTTTGAAATGCAGAGTTCTGGCATGCAGCAAGCAGATTTATCTCTAGGAATTCCCATTTACGGCATATTCCCCTGGGTGCCCAAGAAGTGCCTGCCGATTTGCCAAGGAGTTCTAAAGGCCAGGAACACGCACAGCCATTGTTGCAGGAGGATGCTGACTCTACCAGTTACAGCAAATAATCATGTTCCTTCTTGCCTCATGAAATAATACATAGCTGCAGTGTTGTTTGTTAGTATTTGTACTTCTGAAAAGGCAGGAATGCTCTGCATGTCAGAAGGCAGACTGTGAGTTTTGTGACCCTTAGTGGGCCCTTTGAGAAGACAGAGGTCTAAATTGGAAGGTAATGCAGATACTTCCATGCAGGAATGGGAATTATCAAATAGAGATTTGGGCAGAGGAATTACAGATACACCACTACAGTTAAGGAACTTATTGTGGGAGATATATACACACAACAGGCACTGAAAAGATACTAAGATATCATACTGTTTTCATAGAGCTTGGGGGAAGTATATTAGGCTATAAGGCACAAGAGATTGCAGTTGTGCCCTAGGAAACAAGGTTTTAACAACACATTTGTGAGAGTAGACACACAGTTGAGGAGATGGACCATTGTTTGGAGTCTCTTTCAGAAGACAGGGTCCAGGTCAAGGAGAGATCAGCAGTAATCTGATAAGATCTATGCTCCAAGTCAGATGATTTGCCTATTGACTTCAAAACAAAGACCTTTTCCATTATGTTAAATGAGTTGTTCACCCCTCAAAGTGAATTTTCTTCTAAGAAGCCCAAACATTGAAACATGGATAGACAGGTACTCTTTGCTTCCTTCAAGCAAGCTGCTCTGACTGGAAAATTCCTCCTGGATGGTTCTCAGTGTCATCAAAAGACCAGAACAATAGCACAAATGGTACGTTCATACCAGAAATTTGAGCTGGGTGGAAACTGGGTGGATCGACATGGAATTAAAAAAAAAAAGTCAAGGTGAATCTTAAAACAGTTTTAAAACTCTGAGGAACTACTGAGGGCAGAATCACCATCCTGAATGTGAAACTGCATAGGAAGGTGTGAATATGGCAAAGGTTTAAGGCAAACCCCTTTGTCTTCAAAATCAGTAATAAGAATTAATCCTCCTATGCTGAAATTAATTACATGGGGCCTCCTCCACTACTGCCAGTTCCAGAAAAAAGTACTGGGGTTTTTTTTATTTTGCTTTTCTTTTGGGAAGGTTCCTTGAAAAGGTTTCAAGATGACCAGATGGCTGAATGAGACATCCATTGCAATAGCTGACCCCAGCACTTGGAGGCAAGCCAAGGCCAAGCTTCCAGAAAAGTAAAAGGTGATTGCCAATCTTGGGTGAAGGAAAAAACAATATAACAATATTAGTTCTATTAAATGCTCACTTTGGTATCAAATATGATCATGTTTGAGAAGCCTCCAATTCTGGAGCAAAGGAAAAGGCTGAGGATTATTTACAGTGGATTTTGTCTCTTCTCCAGTAGCTCCAAGGTTTTCAGTTAACAGCAACATTTAGCAACAAAGAACTGTCTGAAGGGAGACTATTGACACAAACGGTTCTTCCTGGTGGTTAAGATCCAGTAATAACATATCTGAATCTTGTAAGGCGTGGAAGGCCTCACCCTTCTGCTGCTGAAAAGCTCACCGCTTTCAAACACAAGATTGTAACTACTTCTTAGTCCTCTTCAGGGGTGCCCAAGGACTGGAGCCTTTACGATCTCTTCCCAGCTATTGTAATGGCTATAATGTGAGACACACCAAGTACAATAAGTTACAGTCAGTCAGCTGTACCCCTACCTCATGCCCTGGTCCCTTTCTAACCAGGGAATCAGTCCATGAACTAGGATGGCCAGTTCCAGTAAGAGAACAATCTGACAGTGAGCCACCCTAATCTGGAGGCTAACCAACAATTACACCCACTTACACCACCAGCTGGTTTCTTTAAGACTTTTTTTACCTATGAGGCCCATGATTATTTTGGTTTCTTAAATTACGCCTTCTGCAAACTCCCTCACTGAACTCCTATGGCATACCCAGAGAGGGAAGAATGCATAGGTGGGAGATGATTCTCCATTATGCCTATCAAGAGAAAAGAGAATACTTTCTCCAGAAAAAAGCCTATTCTAGGAGGTGTTATTGTAAGCTAAGCCATAACAGTGTATTTTCAACAGCATCACAGGGACTCCAAGGAAATATCCCCCCACAAAACCATTTCGGCACAGATAGCTGGGACACAATCTACTCAGTGTAATAGGAAAGTTTCGTCATGGCACAGATGATCAAGGAGTAGCCACTCCCAAGACAGAAGGTCCCAGGGCTCTAAGCACAGTAGCTTGAAGCACAGTTGGTGCCAGGGTGGCCAGCAGGGCAAAGTGGGTTTGCAATTTAAAGAAGCCAAGAATATGTTATGCTGGAGACCATGACTGGCATTGCAAAAAGCTAAGTATCATCTAATTTAAATAAATACCACTGTCAACAAGGTGGAAGTCTGACGACCCTTTTGTCCATCTGAAGGTGTCAGGGAGCAAAACCTGTATGTCATTTCATGACAGGTGCTCCTTCCAGCAGAAGATGCCTGTGGAGAAGCCATGCTAACATCAGAGAGCAAACTACCAGGTAGAAATTGAGCATTCTGCAGCGCTAAGCAAGAAAGTGAATTGAAAGGGTTCAGATCTCATCTTTCTGGGTATGAGAGGATGCTGCCTCAGTCTCCTGTGAAAGAGGGGTTCCAGACCATCCTCTACGTTTTGAAGATGTACTGACAGAACAGACTCTGAACAAAAGTTTTTCCTCCAAAGCCAGGTGGGAACTGAGTCTGCATATTATTACCCACAAGACAAAGTCTCAGATGCTGCAAAGCTGGCTCCTAGCATGACCTTTGTAGCCTGTGCATAGAGGAAAGGAAAAAGAGTGTCACTATACAAACTTGATACTGACCATCTCAGATACTGTACTCTGACACTAGCAAAAGCAAAGCATCTGCTTACCTGTATTCTGTCTTACTACCATAGGTGGTTGCGAAACTGGTCACAAAATTATGTGCCTGCTCAAGTTTTAATTCCCACGGAAGACACGCATGTACAGGAGGGGGAGGCCCCAAGCCTGTTTGATGCCATTCTCCGTTCCTCACATGCGAGAAACCGCTGCCCCAGACACGACCCTGTGTGAAAACTACGCATCATGCAGAGAGCAACACCAGGAAAGGGACAGGGCAGTCACACGGGTCCCAACCCTAAGGGCAAACTTCAAAGGACAGAGCACACCACGCGGGAAAGAATCTCAGAAGAAACGAAGAATCCTCCACTGGAGACACCAGCAGGATTACAGACAGGTTCTCCTGACAGGACACCCACCTCTCTAAGAGAAGCAGACGGGGAGTTCTTCCTGCTGAGATTTTCATCTGGAAAGAAGTCCTGGCGGGCGCGACGGCCCATCTTTAGTACCTGTAGCGCAGGGGGAAACACGAAGGAGCAGAGGGCGCGCGGTTACTGACAGGAGCTGCTTCAGAG